ATCACATTCTGACAAGATGGCCTTGTTAGAGTTACGCGCCATGGTGCGTTAGAAGCTGCTTCTGTTACCGGTACTGCTGCCTTGCACGAAGGACTATGTTGCAGCGAGAGGATTGCGCTTTCCGGAGCGCCATACGCCTGTGATACCGAACGTGACTGTGGCTTGACATATAATAGGTGGTGGAGGCGCGAGATTCTGATGAAAATCACCTGATGTAGACACATTGGTCACAGCACCAACTTCAAATGCAAAAACAAGCTTCGACGTTTACGTCGAAAGGGTTGCGTAGGGTTGTATCCACTGCGTTTACTAAGTTCTTCATGATGATGTATATTAACTTAAAACATGACAAGATCGATAGTCCCTTATTACGGAGAAAATACATTTTCTATAAATTTCTTCCCTCAAAATTGTTTTGAGTGCTAACTTATATGGTTCAAATCTTTTGTGATCATAAAAAATAAATTGTTTACACCTAGTGCATATTCTATAGCGGGTTTTATGTTTGCAATTACTGTACCGTATCTGCTGTGTCAGCTAGTGGGATGGCGTGGCACGCATGTGTTTTCACGTGACACTAGCTTTCAAGTCTAGTGTGAGCGATTTTTTTTTTTTAGTATTGTCAAATGCCCAGATTTTGTTTTTCCTTGCCATTCACCCTTGTCCTCATATTACAATGTATACTGTACATAGAAAGTTTCAGTTCCTCGTTCTGCGCTGGCAAAAAATTTCTCGCCAGCTCCACGACAACCACAACCAAGGGATATCCGTCCCTTTCACAGCTGTCAAACCGAATTTGACGCGCTCTTCATTTCTTGGTTCTTGTTCTTCGTTTCTCTCGAGAAGCACCTGCTTGCTCACTCTCCCCCCCACCCCATTTTCTTCTCTAGCTTTTTCTCCTAACACCCCGCCATCGCTAGCACCTCCCACCCAGCCGTCGCTCTCCCTCCCATCCCCCGTATCCTCTTTCGCCCTCCTCGCCGTCGCCTCTCCCCCTTCCCGCCGTCGCCTCTCCTCCTCCCCGCCGTCGCCTCTCCTCCTTCCCGCCGTCGTCGCCTCCCCCTCCTCCCCGCCGTCGCCTCCCCTCCTTCCCGCCGTCGCCTCTCCTCCCCCCGTCGTCGCCTCCCCCTCCTCCCCGCCGTCGCCTCCCCCTCCTCCCCGCCGTCGCCTCACCCTCCTCCCCGCCGTCGCCTCCCCCTCCTCCCCGCCGTCGCCTCACCCTCCTCCCCGCCGTCGCCTCCCCCTCCTCCCCGCCGTCGCCTCCCCCTCCTCCCCGCCGTCGCCTCCCCCTCCTCCCCGCCGTCGCCTCCCCCTCCTCCCCGCCGTCGCCTCCTCCTCCTCCCCGCCGTCGCCTCCCCCTCCTCCCCGCCGTCGCCTCACCCTCCTCCTTGCCGTCGCGTCACCCTCCTCCCCGCCGTCGCGTCACCCTCCTCCCCGCCGTCGCCTCACCCTCCTCCCCACCGTCGCCTCCTCCTCCTCCCCGCCGTCGCCTCCCCCTCCTCCCCGCCGTCGCCTCACCCTCCTCCCCGCCGTCGCGTCACCCTCCTCCCCGCCGTCGCCTCCGGCGACAGGTGCACGAGCGCCAGCGCGAGTTGGTGCGCTAGCGCATTGGTGCGCGAGCGCGTTGGTGCGCGAGCGCGGATTGTTTCATGAGTTACCGTGGTTTTCAGGTGCGTTCCCGGTCCTTTCATTCTCCCTTCCCCCTCTGAAATTTCTTCTTTTTTTGCTCTCGTCGTTTTTTTTTCGTGTGCCGATTGGTCTCCTCTTCCGTAGCTCTCTTCGTGAAGAAAGGGAGAGACGCGGAGCGCGAGGAAGAGCGAGTGCACGGGAGCGCACGCACAGGAGAGTGCGCGTGAGAGTGAGCGTGAGAGAGCGTGTGAGAGCGCGTGAGAGAGTGCGTGAAAGAGCGTGTGAGAGCGCGTGAGAGAGCGCGTGATATGGCGCGTGGGACAGGGTGAGAGAGTGCGCGTGAGAGAGCACATGAGAGTGCGCGTGAGAGAGCGCGTGAGTGTGCGTGAGAGTGCGTGTGGGAGAGCGCGCGAGAGAGCGCGCGCGAGAGTGCGTGCGAGAGTGCGCGCAAGGGAGCGCGGGAGAGAGCGCGTGAGAGCACGCGTGAGGGAGCGCGTGAGAGCGCGCGTGAGAGAGCGCGTGATGGAGCGCCGCCGGAGAGTGCGCGAGAGAGAGCGCGTGAGAGTGCGCTCGAGAGTGCGAGCGAAAGAGTGCGTGAGGGAGCGCGCGGGAGAGTGCTCGAGAGTTCGCGCAAGGGAGCGCGCGAGGAAGCGCGCGAGCGAGCGCGTGAGGGCGCGTGAGTTTGCGCATGAGGGAGCGTGCGAGAGAGGCGTGAGAGCGCGCGCAAGAGGGCGCGCGAGAGTGAGCGCGAGAGTGCTGGTGTGAGTGCGAGGGCGAATGCGAGCGTGAGTGTGGATATGAGAGTGAGGGCGAATGTGAGGGTGAGTGCGAGGGAGAATGCGTGCCTGAGTGCTGCGGGTGTGTGTGTGGGTTTAGAGGTTGAGCGCGATGGTGCGGGTGTGATTGCAATGGTGAATGCGAAGGCGAGTGCAAGTATGATTCCAAGCGTGAGTGCGCGCATGTGTGAGGATGATCGTAAGGGTGAATGTTGAGGTGAATGCAAGGGTGGCCGCAAGGTTTTGCATGCATTCTGACATAATGTTTACTATCAAGTCACATTTGTAAGATGCCAAATGTAAATGTTTCCATCACTCATCTTTCGTTTGTATATTGCATTCTTCAGCTTCAATTTCTGTTCCGCTTACGTTGTTTTTTAGTGTATCGAACCATTTGTTTCTTGTGCGTCATGCAATCTGCATTCTCTGATTTTGTTTCTTTGTGCAACTCATGCAAGTTGTATTCTTTGATTTTGTTTTTGTTTGTGCAGAGAGTGAGTTGCATTCGCTGTTTCTTCTTTCCTGTGCAGGGAGTTCAAGCTCCAGTCTTCTTTTCTTGCGGAGAAAAGGGATGGGGAGAAGGGAGATGAGGGAAATGAGGGAGGGAGGGAGGGAGGGAGGGGAATGGGGCACAAGCTAGTGATGAATTACACAAGGCTGAACTTCATTCATTATGCTTGCATGCTTATTGCCATAGCTGTATGCTTTTTGCGTTGTGTGTGTGTATGTGTGTGAGTACGTACATGTGCATATGTGTGTGGTGTTTGTTTCGAGGTGTGGTGCTAAGTGCCTCGTGAATGCAACTCGGATTGTGATCGTCGGTGGGGCAGCTTTGCTAGCCTCTTCTGTCCATTCGCCGTACTTATCGACGATTATGGAATGGTTGGAAACATTTGTTTTCATTTTTTCGGGGAAGTTACCGTGAATAGTGATTTCTTTCATAATTGATGGGAGAAATTCACTGTTCACGTCAGCCAACCAAAAAGTGAAAACGAATGTATAAGGTTGCTACGCAACCCAATAACCCAATAGCACGTACTAATTAAACACTTTAGTGTGTACTAAACATCATCCCAGTGCACTGTTTGATGCGTTTATCGCGTTGGCCGCAAGGTCTGAATGGCATAAATGGCTCCAATAATGTTGCGCGCCTCGACATCCCGCGCTGCCCCCCTGCCAGTCCATGTGTTGGTCGATACCTTCATCCAACCAGTTCAAGCCCTTCGATCCTGTTGCGAAGCGAAGGAGCGCCGTACGATTGCTTCTCACGCGGCCCTGCTGGTGAGCCTTTCCCGTCCTGGCATACACTTGGGATCTGCATTCCACCAAACCTTGCCAATTGCTGATTCTACTGGGCTCTATTTCCTCGGGATCGACGAGTAGCCCACCTGTGAACAACGTTCAGTACGTGTCTAGAGAGCATCGCTGTGGAGGAGCAAGAGGAAATAACACCGCCTTACAGCAACGATTCACGAAAAATGCATCACAGCTGAATTGTGCGCCTCGGTATTTATCGAGAAACAGGCATCCGTGTCCCGCGGAACCACACAGGCGAAAACAATCAGTCCGCGAGAATCCTCGAAACTCGGGCGACGTGGGGCGGTCTCACCATGGCGACGAAAGGAGAAGCGAAGAAGCGAGGCGAGCTGCGGTACGCGATGGTATCGCGCGGCGTGGACGTGCTGGCGGAGCATTCGATGGTGAAGGGCGACCTGAGCGCCACGGTGCAGGAGTGCCTCGCCGTGGCTCCGAAAACCAGCGGCAGGCACATCGCGATGCCGCACGGCGACTTCATGATCGCATTCCAGACGGAGAACGACTACGGTACGCGTCGCGGGCCAGGAAGCGGGGTGCAAAATGGGAAGCAGCGCGCGTCGCGCTGAGGCAGCCTCCTGCGGGGATGGACGTTACAGGAATGCGGCTGAGCGGGATAGCACAGGGTTTGCCGGGAATTGCGCGTGAAAAACATGCTCAGTGTGGAAAGCGCATGTCGAAAAGGTGGGAGTGCTTCCATTTGTTTTTCGCCACCCGCACTGCTACTTCCTCTCCCCGTTACCACAGTTTTCCGCCCTCGTCCCGCAGCGCTTGGTTTGCGGCCGCGAAGAACAAAATTCGTCTGGCTCCTTGACACGTCTGCTCACTCCATCGTGTCATCTCTCGTGGCACGCTCTCTTCTCCTCTCCTCTCACCCCGTGTGTCTCCCTCCCCTCCCCCCCCCCCCGCGCAGTGTTCGGCGTGCTGGCGGACAAAGAGGTGGCGCGCGACGTGCTGCGCGGGTTCCTGGGGAAGCTCCGAGAGGGCTTCATGGCCAAGTACGGCACCAAGGCGCGCGACATGCCCGCGGGCGCGCTGCAGCGCGAGTTCGGGTGAGCCAGCGCGTGTGACGCGGGGTGGAGGGCGGCGAAAGGCAACGCAGCGCCTGCGCCAGTGCCACGGCGAAAATCACCGGCGCCAGTGGTGGTCGATGGGTTAGCGGCGCACCACTGGGCTTGATTGTCCGGCACGAGAGCCCCTTGCTTCTAGTTCCACTGCTCCATTGCCGCTACCTTAATCCTGTGTGCCCCCCCGTCCGCCCGTGTCCACGTGGCATGGCAGGCCGAAGCTGAAGCAGCAGCTGCAGCAGGGGACGGCGCGGCCAGAAAAACTGAGCAAGGCAGCGAAAGAAGAGGATGCGAAGGTGGAGAAGGCGAAGGTGCAGGGGCTGGTGGGGAAGGAGAAGGCGCAGGGGCAGGTGGAAAATGCGCAGGGGCAGGTGGATAATGCGCAGGGGCAGGTGGAGAAGGAGAAGGTGCAGGGGCAGGTGGAGAAGGCGAAGGGCGTTATGATGAAAAGCACGCAATCCCCGGTAATAAACGTGCCTTTCCCTCCGACGCAGCTACCCTGATGCATTCATTCATGCCTACGTCCATTCTCTCTCCCCGCCCTCCTGCTTCCTGAACCCTCGTGATTACTGGCCTGATCTCCGCCTCACTCCGCGCCCGTTGACTTGCCATGTGATTGATCACGGGGAGAAGCCGCAGGTGTGGAACAAGAAGGCGAACGAGTCGAACGAGAAGGGGAATGAGAACGGGAACGAGCTGCAAGAACAGGTGCGTGCTGCTGGGTGGCATGGGCATGGGTGGCACGTTATTGCATAGATAAAGCAAGCAGAGGAAAGAGGAAGAACATCTTTCACCTGGGCGTTTGTTTGACCGTTCGTTTGACCGTTCGTTTGGTAGAAGCAAGCACTTGGTGTTGTGCTGCCATGGTTGGTGGGCTTATTTAACATGCTATTCTCTGGCTTTCTCTGTTTTCTGTGGACAGGCTGGGCAGTTTGAAAAGGCAGCGAAGAGTGTGAAGACGAATATGTTTATGGAGAATATAAAAATAAATATCATCATCATCATAATCCTCGTGCTGCTGCTGGGAGGCATCGTCAGCCTTATCGCATGTAGAATAGCCAAGTGCTAATAAATGGCCCTCTCCAGCCACCTACTGGATGATACACATTAATTTCAACAGTGCACTTCCCTCCATCCCATTGCCTCCCCCACCAGTAGACCGCTCTAGTACCGTACAGGCCCGACACGCGTTTGGAAAGGAAGGTTTCTGAAGAAATTTTATCTATTGGGCATGAATGTAAAAAGAATTCTCGGTATAGAGAGGATTATCTAGTTGCAGTAACAAACGAATTCTGAAGAAGATTGTTTCGTCACGTTAATAAATGAGAAAGGCACCTAGTGTACTGAGAAAATCATCTATAAGTCATCTAGTATTGTTCTGAAGGAACCACCATTCTCTATAAATATAGGAGTATAGCAAAGAGGTATAACTTGACTTCCGCTTGTCTTCCCCGCATCCTCCTTTCTTCCCCAGCACCACGCGCCACTCCCTCACTACACCTCCATGGCTGGGACAACCCATCTTCGCCTCCTAGCTCTCCTCGCGCTTCCCCCGCTCCTCCTCTCCTTGTCTCTCCTCGCTACCGCTTCCCACGTCGTCGACTTGACGCGTGACAATTTCGCCGACTACGTAGGAGGCGAGAAGGCCGTGTTCGTCGAGTTCTACGCACCATGGTACGCGTTAGAAGCTGTTTCTGTAACCGTTACTGCCTTACAGCGGAGCAGACCGCGTTTGCGGAGCTCGGCGTGCCGTATGCAGCGTGTTGTTGCACGTGCGCGGCCGGTATTACTGATCCGCACGTGGTGGCTGTGGCTAGTAGTAGGGAGACCTAGCAACGCCCTGCCGCCTGCCATGTGAATGCACGGGCAATCCCCTCGTGCTCGCAGCCTGAGGCGAGGAGTGACGCGATGCGGTAAGAATTTTGGAAGGTGGCGAGGTGGGTTTGCGATGAGACGTGGCGCGTTCTGAGCCGCGTTTCAGCCCCGGCGCGACCAGAGCGAGGCGCCGCGGCGTACGGGTGATGGAGGTCATCGCGCAGCGCGGATGGCGTGGGGGCAGCGCCGCTTGCATTGCGCGTGGATCGCTCCAAACTGCGTACTGCGTGCTGCATGCTGCTTGCTGCTTGCTACGTGCTACGTGCTGCGTGCTGCTTGCTACGTGCTACGTGCTGCGTGCTGCATGCTGCTTGCTGCTTGCTGCTTGCTACGTGCTACGTGCTGCGTGCTGCGTGCTGCGTGCTGCTTGCTACGTGCTGCGTGCTGCGTGCTGCGTGCTGCGTGCTGCTTGCTACGTGCTGCGTGCTGCGTGCTGCGTGCTGCGTGCTGCGTGCTGCGTGCTGCGTGCTGCGTGCTGCGTGCTGCGTGCTGCTTGCTGCTTGCTGCGTGCTGCTTGCTGCTTGCTGCTTGCTGCTTGCTGCGTGCTGCGTGCTGCGTGCTGCTTGCTGCTTGCTGCGTGCTGCTTGCTGCGTGCTGCGTGCCTTGGAGACGCGTCAAGAGGCCTTGAGCTGCGTGCTCCACTCGCCGCCGTTTCACCACTCACTCCCTCACTCGCCCATCCCCTCCCTCCCACATCGCGTCTCCTTCACCCCGTCCCATCCCCGTACCCCCATGCACCCGTTCCTGCCCCTGGCCTACCCCTTTCCCTTCTCCCCAGCACTGCAGCAGCAGGTGGGTGTATGGGGCCGATAGGAGGCCAATCCAATGCCTGCAACCACCACTTTCAACTAGCTGCCTGGGGCCCGTTCCCTGGCCATCCTTCCCCACCCGATCTCCGGCCCACTTCCTCCCCTCTCCCCTTCCCCTTCCTCCCCTTCTGCCCCCCCCCTCCCCACCCCCTCCCCCGGCCACAAGCTGCGGGCACTGCAGGAAGGTGGCGCCGGAATATGGGATGCTCGTGGCCTTGTGAGGCGTCTCAAAAGTCCTTTCCCTTCCTCCCACCTACCCTTCCTCTCCCTTCCCCTTCCTCCCCCCACCCTTCCTCTCCCTCCCACTTCTCCCCCCTCCCATTCCTCCCCCTCTCCCCCCTCCCCCGCCATCAGGTGCGGGCATTGCAAGAAGGTGGCACCCGAGTATGAGAGGCTGGCAGCAGCTGTCAAGGACGTTGATGCGCTGACCGTCGCCAAGGTGGGGGCAATGGGCGTGGTTGGGGGCCATGGGCACGATTGGGGGCCATGGGCATGATTGGGGGCCATGGGCATGATTGGGGGCCATGGGCATGGTTGGAGGGGAATTGGGCATGGTTGGGACTTGCTGCGTGTAGACTATGGCTCGTGGCATGTTGTGTTCACGATACATGCAGCATAATCAATTCCGTGGAGTGCTGCATTCACCGTGATGTGTGCACATGATGATGCCTCTCGAGTCTGAGTCGACTCAAACATCAGCGCATTCCTAGGAGTGCAGTCACCATGGATGTGTGCATATGATGTGCACATAATCCTCCATCATCGCCCATGCATGCACATCCTCACTGCGTTTTCCCATTACCATGCATGCACTACCATGCATACACCACCATGCATCCACCACCATCCACCCACCACCATGCATCCCCTTTCAGAATCCCTTCCCCACCCTCTCTCACCTCGCCAAGCCCTGCATTCACCTCCATGCCCTACCCCGCCTCGCCACACGAGCCCAGGTGAATTGCGGGGAGCACAAGGGGTTGTGCGACCAGCACAGCATCCGCAGCTTCCCCACCTTCAGATGGTTCCCCACCCACCAAACCACGCCTGAGAAGTACGTACACGGTACAACCCCCCTCTACGCTTCATCTCGGAGCCTCCTCAACCCTTGGATCCTCTCCTCACAGGCTGTGACCCTGCAAGCCTTTGAATATCTCGAGCCTTGGAGTGTTGCCTACCTTTCAACCTGTGTGTCTGTCCTCCCCAATTTTTTCCCCAACTTTTTCCCCAACCTCTCCCCCAACTTCTCTTCAGTCCTCGTCAGCACCTCCTCCCTCCCGTCTTCCTTGCGCTCCCTCTCTCCCTGCCTTCGTCCCTCGGCTTTCTTCCATTCCATCTCACAACCCCGTTGTCCCTTGCCCTCCCCCTCCCTGCAAATTTATTTTCCCATTCCATCTCACAACCCAATCATGCACACGTCCTCTCTGCATCTGCATGCTTTCCTCTTCATTCCACACACCAATCCATCAGCTTCAAGGGCAGGAGGGACGCAGACGACTTTGTCAACTTTATAAATGACAAGCTAGGTCAGCCCCCTTGTCTCTGCCTCCTCTCTCTCTTCCCCGTCATTTTCTCCTAGGCGCCAAAGAAGTCTCTCACTTTGAACAACCCTTTCTCAATTTATCAGCTTCACAAATGAGAAGCTCGGCCGGGCCGGGCCCCCTCGTGTGCCTCCTCTCTTCCTCCCCACTTTACCTCACTCTCCCCCCACCGCACAACCGTTGTCGCTTCTAACCGCTTCCGGTCTTGGTTATGCACATCCTCTTGTTACTTGGTCGTATGATGTTCCTTGGTTCAGGTCATATGTGAAGTCTCTCCCTCTTATCATCTGCACGCTCCACAGCCCTCCAGCCATGTCAGAACCTCTTTCCCTACACAACCCTTACTCAACTCACAGCCTACACAGTTAGTACTTGTGGCCATTGAGCATCCCCACATCCCCACATCCCCATCCCCATCCCCATCCCCATCCCCATCCCCATCCCCATCCCCATCCCCATCCCCATCCCCATCCCCATCCCCATCCCCATCCCCATCCCCATCCCCATCCCCATCCCCATCCCCATCCCCATCCCCATCCCCATCCCCATCCCCATCCCCATCCCCATCCCCATCCCCATCCCCATCCCCATCCCCATCCCCATCCCCATCCCCATCCCCATCCCCATCCCCATCCCCATCCCCATCCCCATCCCCATCCCCATCCCCATCCCCATCCCCATCCCCATCCCCATCCCCATCCCCATCCCCATCCCCATCCCCATCCCCATCCCCATCCCCATCCCCATCCCCATCCCCATCCCCATCCCCATCCCCATCCACGTCCCCATCCCCATCCCCACATCCCCATCCCCATCCCCATCCCCATCCCCATCCCCATCCCCATCCCCATCCCCATCCCCATCCCCATCCCCATCCCCATCCCCATCCCCATCCCCATCCCCATCCCCATCCCCATCCCCATCCCCATCCCCATCCCCATCCCCATCCCCATCCCCATCCCCATCCCCATCCCCATCCCCATCCCCATCCCCATCCCCATCCCCATCCCCATCCCCATCCCCATCCCCATCCCCGTCCCCACATCCCCATCCCCATCCCCACATCCCCATCCCCATCCCCATCCCCATCCCCATCCCCATCCCCATCCCCATCCCCATCCCCATCCCCATCCCCATCCCCATCCCCATCCCCATCCCCATCCCCATCCCCATCCCCATCCCCATCCCCATCCCCATCCCCATCCCCATCCCCATCCCCATCCCCATCCCCATCCCCATCCCCATCCCCATCCCCATCCCCATCCCCATCCCCATCCCCATCCCCATCCCCATCCCCATCCCCATCCCCATCCCCATCCCCATCCCCATCCCCATCCCCATCCCCATCCCCATCCCCATCCCCATCCCCATCCCCATCCCCATCCCCATCCCCATCCCCATCCCCATCCCCATCCCCATCCCCATCCCCATCCCCATCCCCATCCCCATCCCCATCCCCATCCCCATCCCCATCCCCATCCCCATCCCCATCCCCATCCCCATCCCCATCCCCATCCCCATCCCCATTCTATCCACGTCCTCATCCCCATCCCCACATCCCCATCCCCATCCCCATCACCATCCCCACATCCCCATCCCCATCCCCATCCCCATCCCCATCCCCATCCCCATCCCCATCCCCATCCCCATCCCCATCCCCATCCCCATCCCCATCCCCATCCCCATCCCCATCCCCATCCCCATCCCCATCCCCATCCCCATCCCCATCCCCATCCCCATCCCCATCCCCATCCCCATCCCCATCCCCATCCCCATCCCCATCCCCATCCCCATCCCCATCCCCATCCCCATCCCCATCCCCATCCCCATCCCCATCCCCATCCCCATCCCCATCCCCATCCCCATCCCCATCCCCATCCCCATCCCCATCCCCATCCCCATCCCCATCCCCATCCCCATCCCCATCCCCATCCCCATCCCCATCCCCATCCCCATCCCCATCCCCATCCCCATCCCCATCCCCATCCCCATCCCCATCCCCATCCCCATCCCCATCCCCATCCCCATCCCCATCCCCATCCCCATCCCCATCCCCATCCCCATCCCCATCCCCATCCCCATCCCCATCCCCATCCCCATCCCCATCCCCATCCCCATCCCCATCCCCATCCCCATCCCCATCCCCATCCCCATCCCCATCCCCATCCCCATCCCCATCCCCATCCCCATCCCCATCCCCATCCCCATCCCCATCCCCATCCCCATCCCCATCCCCATCCCCATCCCCATCCCCATCCCCATCCCCATCCCCATCCCCATCCCCATCCCCATCCCCATCCCCATCCCCATCCCCATCCCCATCCCCATCCCCATCCCCATCCCCATCCCCATCCCCATCCCCATCCCCATCCCCATCCCCATCCCCATCCCCATCCCCATCCCCATCCCCATCCCCATCCCCATCCCCATCCCCATCCCCATCCCCATCCCCATCCCCATCCCCATCCCCATCCCCATCCCCATCCCCATCCCCATCCCCATCCCCATCCCCATCCCCATCCCCATCCCCATCCCCATCCCCATCCCCATCCCCATCCACGTCCCCATCCCCATCCCCACATCCCCATCCCCATCCCCATCCCCATCCCCATCCCCATCCCCATCCCCATCCCCATCCCCATCCCCATCCCCATCCCCATCCCCATCCCCATCCCCATCCCCATCCCCATCCCCATCCCCATCCCCATCCCCATCCCCATCCCCATCCCCATCCCCATCCCCATCCCCATCCCCATCCCCATCCCCATCCCCATCCCCATCCCCATCCCCATCCCCATCCCCATCCCCATCCCCATCCCCATCCCCATCCCCATCCCCATCCCCATCCCCATCCCCATCCCCATCCCCATCCCCATCCCCATCCCCATCCCCATCCCCATCCCCATCCCCATCCCCATCCCCATCCCCATCCCCATCCCCATCCCCATCCCCATCCCCATCCCCATCCCCATCCCCATCCCCATCCCCATCCCCATCCCCATCCCCATCCCCATCCCCATCCCCATCCCCATCCCCATCCCCATCCCCATCCCCATCCCCATCCCCATCCCCATCCCCATCCCCATCCCCATCCCCATCCCCATCCCCATCCCCATCCCCATCCCCATCCCCATCCCCATCCCCATCCCCATCCCCATCCCCATCCCCATCCCCATCCCCATCCCCATCCCCATCCCCATCCCCATCCCCATCCCCATCCCCATCCCCATCCCCATCCCCATCCCCATCCCCATCCCCATCCCCATCCCCATCCCCATCCCCATCCCCATCCCCATCCCCATCCCCATCCCCATCCCCATCCCCATCCCCATCCCCATCCCCATCCCCATCCCCATCCCCATCCCCATCCCCATCCCCATCCCCATCCCCATCCCCATCCCCATCCCCATCCCCATCCCCATCCCCATCCCCATCCCCATCCCCATCCCCATCCCCATCCCCATCCCCATCCCCATCCCCATCCCCATCCCCATCCCCATCCCCATCCCCATCACCCCAACACATCCCCCCTCACGACAGGCCCCACACGTGAAAAAAGAAGCCATTAGTTGATCGCTGCAGGCTTGCCTTCCTCCCTCCCTCCACCATCCCCCTCCCTGCTCCCCACCGGGCATCCATCCCAGCAGGCACACGTGTGTCCCTACCCGGTGCCGTGTCGCACGTGGTGGCCCTGTGCACTGACAACTTCAACCACGCTCCTCTCGATGACTCCCTGCATGCGCTCGTCATGTTCTACACGCATGGGTGAGGGGGAGGGGGAGGGGGAGGGGGAGGGGGAAGGGGAAGGGGGGGTAGGGTGCGGGAGGTGAAGGGGGATGGGGAATTTGTGCCGAGGGCATGGTCAAGTAAATGAATCGCGCTGCTTATAGCGTACTTGTTGTCCCGCTTTCAAGGCATAACACATTGGCCAATAGCAACACAGGCGGCGAAACGGGGGGGGAAGGGATGGAGGAGCGAGAGGAGAGAGTGAAGTATAAGCAGAGGAGAGTATAGTCGGTACAAACGACCAGGTTCTACTGTTTTGACCCCTTTGTCAAAATGTCTGTCTCCCATGTCCGCCTATCTTCTCTGAGAATTCTCAAAAAATAAACGACGAGGTTCTACTGACTTGACCCCTTGGTCAAAACGGCTGTCTCCCATGTCCGCCTATCGCTGTTCCCTCTTCTGTTCTCCCTCACCCCTCCCACAACCCCGTGTTCTGTGCAGGTCCCGACAGTCCAGAGGCTTGTTCCCTGTAAGTAGGGCCACTCTCCAAACTTAGACTTTTTGATGGGACACTCTGACAAACTTGGGGAGTTCAGTCCATTTTTTAGAATTTTTGCTCGTAGTTATTATACGGGAGCCTTTTTTGGTGGTGTACACTGTAGCTGGTTTGTGGGTTCTCTAATTGCCGGTCTTTTGAAAGCCTTTCGTATGCAGATCTAGCATTAGTACCACCTACAATTTTCCAGCCTGAGTTTTACCTTGATGTTTAGGTGGAGTCGCACCCAGTGTAGCTAGCATACAGGTAAGTAGGGACAATCTTTAGCAACGTTAGTTAGCAACGGTGTCTTGGTTTAGTTTTCTTGTCACACCATACTGTGCTTCTGGTACCATTCCCTCCTGGTTGTCTTCTGCAGCGTTCAGAAGGGTTTGTTTTTTTCGCCACACCATGCGACTCGCACATCCCCATCCCCATCCCCATCCCCATCTCCACCACCATCCTTATGCCCATCCCCACCACCCCACACCACGACACACGGCACAGATGTATGAGAAGGTGGCGGCGGCATTCAGGGCGGAGAGCAGTGTGGTGGTGGGCAAGGTGGACGTGGACCGATGCCCCGAGCTCAAGCTCAAGTCAGTGCCGTGCAGGGTGGTAGGCTGCTTGCGCAACACCAGACGCTAGTATGCTCATGCATCGTGCATGGTGTGTGGTGGTAGGGTGCTTGCGCAACGCCAGAAGCTAGTATGCTCATGCACCGGGCATGGTGTGTAGTGGTGGGCAAGGTGGACGTGGACCGATGTCCCGAGCTCACACTCAAGTCAGTGCGCACTGCTGTGAGGTGGCTGGTGGAGGAGGGAGGGAGCACTGCGCGAGTGAGAGGGGGAGCAGGGAGCTGATGGTTGAATTGGGGTAGACTGGAGGTTTTATGAGGGGAAAGAGGGGTGATAGGGGACAGTGGGGAAAGAGGGGAGAGAGAGGGGAGAGAGGGGAACGAGGGGAGATTGGGGAGTAAGGGGAGAGAGGGGAGAGAGGGGAATGATGGGAGAGAGGGGAGAGACGGGAGAGAGGGGAGAGACGGGAGAGGGGAGAGAAGGGAGATGGGGGAGAGGGGAGAGAGTGTGGGAGAGGGGTGCGAGGGGAAGGATGTTGCTTCTGCAGTATGGCCACTTTTCTGCGCGTTTTCCACTTCATACCCACCTTACATTCCACCCACTGCCGCACGCATCCATCCCGCATGCTGCCACTGCGACGCACAGGTACAGCATCAGCATGACCCCAGAGCTGATCTGGTTCCCTTTTGAGTCGACTCAAAAGTCAATACCCACATGCGTCCATCCCACTCACTGCCAAGCGCAGGTACAGCATCAGCGTGACGCCAGAGCTGATCTGGTTCCCGCGGCACAACAAGGTGGGCGAGGTGTACCGCAAGGCGCGCTCCGTGCGGGACCTAGTGGCCTTCATCAACCAGCAGGCCGGCACCTACCGCACCATCGATGGCACCCTCTCCCCTGCGGTACGCTGCTGTGCCGTGCCGTGCCGTGCCGTGCCGTGCCGTGCCGTGCCGTGCCGTGCCGTGCTGTGCCGTGCCGTGCTGTGCCATACCATGCCGTGCCATGCCTTGCCAACTCCTGCCATTCTTTTACATGCCATGACGTGCCATACCATTCTAAAACGTTCCGAGCCATGGCATGTCAATCGTTGCTCCCACTGGCAATCCAGATTTCCAGGGCAGGGCCCCCTCAATTTCGCTCCCATTCACACACACCTCGTCCATCCATGCGCGCTCCCCCATCTGTAACCCCTCGCCGCCCTCAGTCAGGGCGGCTACCAGCCTTGGATGACCTAGCAGAGGAGTTCTTGGCAGCAGTGGGAGAGGCAAGAGGGGCGGTCATGGCACGGGCTGAGGCCGAGGCAGCTCGGATGGACGAGGAGGAAAGGAAGTGAGTGGGGGCGTAGGCAGTGCAGGGAAGGGCCAAGGAGGGGTGTGCAGGGAAGGGCCAAGGAGGGGTGTGCAGGGAAGGGCCAAGGAGGGGTGTGCAGGGAGGGTGCCGAATCTGATTCAACTGCCTGTGGGGAAGTTTGGTGGCGTGCACATCCCACCAAACTTCCCACTTCCCCCCTTGCTGTTCCCCAGCCCAGCCTTGCATGCTTGTGCGCCCTAAGCCTCTCAGAGGGCCGCACTGCACCGCGCAATGCACTCTGCTCTGTGTGCCCATCTCTCCGTGCTTTTCAAAGGCCCTCCTGCCTTCAACACCTCCTCTCTCTTACACTGCTTTCTGCAAATAAAACTCCTGCACTGTACACGTTCTCCCCAACACCTGCACGTGCACATTCGCATGCATGTCACTCGTGCTCGGTTGTCCTCCGCCCTCTGCCATGTATCTCACCACCCATTCACCCGTTCACCCGCTCACCCACTCACCCATTTACCCACTCACCCTTTCACCCACTCACCCATTTACCCACTCACCCTTTCACCCACTCACCCTTTGACCCACTCACCCATTTACCCACTCACCCTTTCACCCACTCACCCATTTACCCACTCACCCATTTTCCCACTCACCCTTTCACCCGTTCACTCGTTTACCCACCCGTCCGCCCGGCAGGCGTGCAATGGTGTACGTGAAGCTCATGGGCAGCATCATGGAGCAGGGCGATGGGTACGTGGGCAAGGAGATGGGCCGACTCTCACGCCTGCTGCAAGGGGTAAGCGGGCACCAATGCACCTCCCTGCACGTTCCATGTCATGTGTGTTCCTATGGTGGAAATAAACAACAACGTGCTTGGCGCACATGGGCCTGCTTCCCGATGTGTTTGCCTCGGTCCGCTCAGGCAGTCCCCGCCCATACCCCTTCTCCGCCCATACTGCACTCTAATTCTTTACCGTCGCCCCCTGTCGCCCCTGTGTCGCTCTCAGCTCACACTGATACTGTACCTCCCCCCCTTGCCTCATGTCTTTAACCCTTGTGCCTCTTCCACCCTTGCCCTGTGGCTCTTCCTCTCTCTTACTTCCCCCCTCTTCCCCCCTTGTCCCATGTTTCTCCTACTTGTTCCTTGCCCCTTGCTTCCGCTGCAGTCCCTGTCGCGGGAGAAGGCAGACCAGTTCACCACACGGAAAAACATCCTACAAGCCTTCTTGCACACAGAGGGGCACCAAGAGCTTTAACCTTGCAAGCCCCGCGGATCATGAGGAGGGAATGGGGAGGTAATGCTCTTTTTTAACGACGTGCCCCTCTCCCCCTTCCCTTCCCTCTTTTTCCAACGATTTTATGAGTTTAGCCCCAGGGCTGTTTAACATCGGATATGTTAGCTATTATACCATTCATTTTACATTTTCCAAGCCACAACACACACATGCAAGCTGTGGTGGAGTGTGTGTACAGTTGCAAGTGCGTCAGGTGTGAGAAAAGAGGTGTTTTTAACGAGATTTTAATCAGGTTTGTTGGCGTAACAGAGTTGTTACCAGTTTCTTATCAGACGTATGTTGAGCTTGAGGTTTGGGCTATTTCAGAAAGGGCCAACTCAGCCATATAGAGCGGTGCGTGGTTTGGCAAAGCTAGGCGCACAGTGCAACGATGAATGAGACCCGTAACAGGCAAAGCTGTAGCCAGTGTTATAAGGGGTGTGAATTCCTTAGCATGGTGAACATAAACAAGAGTCTTATAGAGAAGCATCACCTCTTGAAAATGCACCCCAATGCCATTGCGCCGAGAGTACCACCAGGCAGTTCGAAGCAGCTAGGCAGGAGCGACCGTCGTACCTCGAAATTCACATGCATTGCTGCACGACGAATCCCACCATAACGACTTGTGCTGCTATCTTGTACGGTATATCTTTACATACCTCGCTTCCAGGTTGTGGCTGTTGTTCCTTCCCAGGCTCCTCCCTCATCTACAGCTCTCCCCTAGGGACTCTGAATTCCTCTAAGCGTGTCCGAAGTGGAACGTGGACCGTCGGATATGTCGAAGGCCCAAGATCTGGCTATTCAGCTCCCTCGACATGATCAAATGTTTTATTCAAGAGTTCTTCGATATTGTCGACATCCCCACTTCAGACTCCCGCCAAAAAGTCAGCCACATCTCTCACCAGACAGTCGGTTTATGCGGGTTTGAAGAATGTTCAGTTCACGCGGAGTGATTTCCCGTTGAGCCTTCCGAGGAACCTACTAGCTCTTGGCAGGGTTTCGGGTGATTTCCGTGTCGACCACAGCCTATTTGCGACCAGGGACGCGCGCAGGTATTTCCTCTCACTACCGTCTTATTGCCGTAAACCGTTAGGCGGAGCCGCCGCGTGCGCCGTGCAGAGTGTTTCTTTGTTTGTGTGTGTTTTTTCGACATGGCTGGGAAGAGTATTGAGATTGACGAATTTTCGGGCGGTTATGAAGCCTCAGACGTTTCCTGTTCACTGGAGTCTGGATTCGTTGAGACTCAGAGTCGAGAGGTGGTTTTTGCCCCGTCAGGGAAGCACGTTAAACTTGAAGCGGATACCTACCCTGCGATTGGAGTTGCAAACGACCGGAACGCGGCTGTAACGGAAACGTTTTCCAGTCGACAGGAAGACTGCTCGCGGCCTTCCAGGCGTTGGGATCGGCATTCAAATCATTTGATCCCAGAAACGATAAACATCTCTCAGATTTTGCTGGGTTGGAGGAAGACATTGGGGATTTTGCAGGGAGCAGGACATTGGGACGCTTTAGAATCGCACGACGGATAAGCGGGTTATAAGACGCCTGCATGTCGGAGAGGCCGCGCTTTGGTGGAATCGCGGCCATGGATCGTTCGCTACGCTGTTGGGCTTCTTGTGCTTCTCGTTTTCGTTCCATGCATGATTGCCATTACTAACCAAGTGAGCGGTTTAGGTGGTTAGGCTGGATGTTCTCACCACCGTCAATCACACTACATCTTTCGACGGTTACGATTGCACATCAAATCTGCACGACTGTAGAGATTTCACAGGCCACGAACGGTTGAAATTCAATGTAGCCACCAATCTTATTGCGGCTAGCCAAGGCAACGGTCCAGTCTTGAGGCGCCTTGGCTGTGTGGATCAGTCTCCTGGTGTCTCTTGCTCTTCGTCTTCGCGCTAGCTACAACTAAACGCCATTCCATTGCCCCTGTTTCGTTGCTGTGTACTTAGGTTGGTTTGGCGTCACGTGGATAGGCTACACCTTTTGTTTTTGTTTTATTTTTTGATTTTGTGGTTACCTGTATGCTTTGGGTCATGATGGACAACACCAAAAGAAGCATCGGGATTCGTTCCCTGCGAGTACAGCTCCACATTTCTCCTCGCCCTTCCTTCGTTGCCAAACCTCCCGAACCTCAGGTTCGATTGGATGACATCAATCAGCTTTGGAACCTCTCCCCTTCTGTGTGGTCGCCTGTAGCGGTGAGGGAGGCGCCCGGGTGCATTCTGACTCTCGACTCGCGCTACAACCCCCAGGGGGTGCTGGCAGTGGAGGCGGCTGTAGCGCAGCTGCTGAGGGACCTTGGGGTGGACGCGGAGGGGGCAGGGGGAGAAGGGATATGGGGGGAGGGAGTTGGTGGGGAAGGGAGAGGGGCGGAGGGAATAGGGACGGAAAAGGAGAGAAGAAACGGAGGAAAGGGGATACCTGAGGCGTGGCGGAGGTTCTATGGGTTGCTGCCTAAGGTGGTGGATGCGGATGGGAGGGAGGATCAGAGGAAGATGTCTATATGGGTGACTCTGGCCGTCAACATGTGCGTATGGTTGGTTGTATAACGGCATCGTGTGTGTTCGTGGGTTATGCTGTAGGCAGATCACTCTGTTACACAGCAAGTGTTACACATGATGATGTCACGCCGTGAAAGTATGTGTTCCACAGAAGAAGGCTATGACTATGTGTTGTATGACGTCATCATGTGTGTTCATGCATTCAGTTTCTACATGTGAGTATGTGCTCCTGCAATGTCATCATGTCTGCATGCATCTGCATTACAACGTCAGCCTGAACGTATGTGTACATGCAACTGTCACCATATATTGACACTGGTTCAATTGGAAGAGTCAACGCAGTCAATAGAGTCGATTCTTTTCCCCTTTTCCATCGTATCCGTCTCCTTCCACCAGTATTTATGTGTGCCAGCATGGGTAATGGCTGGTGGTGAAAAGAAAGGGTCAATGAAGTCAGCGTGTCTTAAAAGAATACGCGAGCCTTCCCATCTCCGCTCGGCGGTATGGGTACCGACTTGTGGTGGAGAATGGGTCAAAATACACACCGGATAGACACCCCGCCTGGTTCAAGGTGAGTGTCTGTCAGTGCGTCTGCTTGAGGCTTCCCCTGTCCGGGTTTAAAGCGAGTGTGGCAATCCAACCCACTCAATTAAAGTGTCAGCGAATTTGATCGGTTCAAGGTAAAACATATCCCTCAGAACAAGTGATGAGCAAAAAACAAAACCTGTTCCACCCCGTTTATTTTATTTTCTTTTTTTGCTGAAAGTCGAACCTTTCCAGACCAGGTTGCGCGAGTCGTTTAAGGGCCGTGCGTTGCGCTTGTGCCCCAGCTTCCCCTTTCATCCTAGCATGGTCGCCAATCCCTCTCTTTAGCTCATCACCTGTAACTTGCATGCATGCGGTTTTCGTTTTAGTGGCGCTTGCATGCATACACTTGAAAGTGTGTGCGTATGTCCTACTATTTGTGACCTGCGCTGAACTCGAATCGGTCCCGGTGTCCGTGCTTTCCCTGCATTTCTTGCTTCCCCCTTTCCATTTCCTGCTTTCCCCTGCAGGTGCGGATTCTGCAGGAGCAGCTGGCATGCTGCTGCAAGTGGGCCTTGTTTGTCGACTCAGATGCCTACATTCGAATGAACCACCACCGCCTCTCCATTGAAGCCTGGATCCAAAAAATCAAGCAACCCGTGAGTGCAAGGACGCTTCCTCTCATTCACCAGTCATTGTTTTCCTGGCAGACGCGCGGGTCACCAGGGTATAGTTGGTTCCCACAGGGCATGAATTGAGATCGGTGCACCCCACCCCATCCTGCCCCTCCCACTCCTCCATACCGCTCCTCCCCACTTCCTTGCTTCCAGAACTACTTCAACTGGCTGCTGGATGCCAAACTGACAGATTTCCTGGACGGCCAGGTGTGGATCCCACAGGACCCCGCCCTGCTGCTACAGCCAGCCACCGCACAACAGCTGGAGGGGCCTGTGGCTCTGATGCCACGGAATGGGGACTCGCGGGGTGGGTATAACGGTGGCGCGGATGAGCTTTTTATGGAGAACCGAGACTATCTCAATTCGGGGGTGCTGCTCTTTAGACGGTCACTGGACACCTTCCAGGTGAGCTTTCCCAGAGGTAAACCAACTACTTATTTTGGGAAAAGGGTGGCGGGGGGTGGCGGGGGGGAGGAGGAGCGGGAGGGGTTGTTTGAGGGGGGTCTTTCAATAAGTCTTGCTGAGCTCTCATTGCCGTGCGTTTGCACAGCATGCTTGGTTGCAGCCAATCGTTTTCCTTTTCTGATTCTTGAAGGTGAGGCACGTCGCTCTTTTCCCTTGCCCTTCCCACTCCCTCGTAGTTCTTGAAGCGGTGGTACATGATCACTGAAGCAGATGATTTCCATCGATACAACCACGAATGGGAGCAACCAAACCTGAACGCCGTAGCTCGCCAGGAGCAATGGAAGGAGAAGGTGATAGTGGTGCCGTATGCCGAGCTCACAGGTCCCGACGGAGCCATGATTCGCCACGTGTGGGGAGGTGTGCCTGAGGGGGCACATCACAGGGTGTCGATGGAGGCTTTGGAGGAGATCATGGGGTTGCCGTGGTAAGGGGTGTGTGCGCTTGCTAGAGGAGCCGTGTGGTGGATTTTCCAAGGGAAGCATATGACAGGGTGGTAGTAGAGGCGCTGTGGTGGAGGCACTGGGGTTGCCGCGGATTGTGTGAGGTTACCCGCGGCCTGGCCCGGCCCCTAACGCCTCGCCCTATTCTCAAAACTCGATGCTAGTTCTGTAGAGCAACCAAATGTTTGTGCGTTACTTGCTAGCTACTATTTTGTCGTTCTCTGTACGTGATAATGAAAGCAGGAAATCTACGGTTGGTATTTTCTCATAATCCTGCATGCCCTGAACAACACTGTTCAAAGCAAGCCGGGTTTTAGCCTCTCTTTCTCGTCAGCCTGATGCCTCGCCTTCACTTTTCCTAAAAGGGTGGCTAACAAAAGCACCCTTCTATAAAAAGGGTGCGAACATACCATATCGCCCCGGATATAACCGCAGGCCTATTGAAAACGCATGTGCTTATATCTGGAGCAATGTGCTTATGCTCTATCCGCAAATATAAGCGCACCCCCCCTGTGAAAACTTTTCATATTATAAGCGCATGCATAATTATATATTTTATTCCTGATTAGGCACCGTAACGTTTTTCCGCTTTGCAGCGAGTCTACGACCTTAGCTGTGACACGCTCGACAAGTCGGCCAGCATGCTCGCCTGTTCGGTTCGGTTCGGGCGGGAAGAGCGCGACACGGCACGAACCTGACTGAGAGCACGCACGTGGGGGGCTGGGGGGTAAGGGCGTGTCTCTATTTTGTTTTTCTGCATTTTTCCGGACGGTTCTTTTTTTTTTTTTGTAACGGACGGTTCTGATAGCGAGGGCCGGACTGTCCGAATTGCCATTTCGGGACTTTGCCCCGTCCGGATGCGATGCTGTCTCTTTTTTCAGAACCCTGAATTTCACGAAGAACTGTTGCTTTGTTATGGGCAATGTTGCGTCGTTACACGAGTCACGACATGTTTAGGGTATATTCGTGCGCCAATCTGATTCCGTATTTTAGAAATATCTCGCGCGCCAATCTCTAGTCAGTGCTGTTGCACCGTCCGTTTGCTTTTCAAGCTGCGAACGGTTCAGAATCTGAACCGTTGTGAAGGGGAAAAAGTGACGCGATAGTTTGAACCGTTAGCGACATCGCAAATACTTTCACGAAACGCGTTACAAAACCGCGCGAAACAAGTAACCTTTTTGTAGCTCGGGCCGTCTACGGTTCGAACCGTCGGGGGCAGAAAAGAGACATGCCCTAAGGAGCAAACGATCGCCCTCGCGCGAGACAGCATGAAGCCGACTGACATCACGAACGTGCCCATAGCGCCCTACCCTGTCCGTCGCGCTGCCCCACCAGTCGCGCTGCCCTGCCCGCGCGCCGCCCTGCTGTTAAACTGTATTATGCTTGTAGGCTGTAGTGGGGTAGCCAATATGGGGTACAACCCCAACTAGGGTTTCATATTTGTACCCAAACTTCTGCTAGTTCATCATTCTTGCCTAGTGATTCTGACATGGTATTCAGAGCAGGAGGTCCCTAGGACCTACCGACCGTTTTTTTAAGGGCCCACCACCGCTCGCTGCGGTTACCACGCTACCCCGTGCCCTAGCCTCGTAGCGCCCTCGTGCGCCCTCGTTAGCGCCCTCGCGCGCCCCTCGTTAGCGCCCTCGCGCGCACCCTCGTTAGCGCCCTCGCGCGCCCCTTCGTTAGCGCCCTCGCGCGCCCCTTGCTAGCGCCCTCGCGCGCCCCTTCACTAGCGCCCTCGCGCGCCCCTCGCCGAGCCGCCCGCTCGCAGCCCGCCCGCCCGCTCGCTGCCCGCTTCGCGGCCCGCTCGCTACGCAGCCCGCCCGCCCGCTCGCTGCCCGCTTCGCGGCCCGCCCGCTTCGCAGCCCGCTCGCTCGCTGCCCGCTTCGCGGCCCGCCCGCTTCGCAGCCCGCTCGCTCGCTGCCCGCTTCGCGGCCCGCCCACTTCGCAGCCCGCCCGCCCGCTCGCTGCCCGCTTCGCGGCCCGCCCGCTTCGCAGCCCGCTCGCCCCGCTGCCCGCTTCGCGGCCCGCCCACTTCGCAGCCCGCCCGCCCGCTAGCTGCCCACTTCGCGGCCCGCCCGCATCGCAGCCCGCTCGCCCTGCTGCTCGCTTCGCAGCCCGCCCGCCCGCCCGCTGCCCGCTTCGCGGCCCGCCCGCCACGCAGCGTCGCCCGCCCACCGTGCTGCCCGCTTGCAGCGCCGCCTGCCCGCCGCGCTGCCCGCTTCCCGGCCCGTCCGCCGTGCTGCCCGCTCGCAGCATCGCCCTCCCGTCGCGCTGACCGCTTGCAGCGCCGCCTGCCCGTAGCGCCAGCCTCGCCCGCTGCTCTCTATCCGTGCACAGTCGCCTTCCCCTGCTGCGGCAGCTTGCGTTACTCTGTCACACTGTCGCTATGGCTTCCATCCGCGTGCTGTCGTTCGATGCTGAGGGCCGCCCTGTGCGGTTCACCGCTTGGCTAGATGACCTGCAGCTGTTCCTCCTGAGCGATAGCAAGGAGCATGTGTCGCTCTATGATTACGCGTCTGGTGCTGCGCCTGCCCCTCCTGCCACAGCTGAGCTTAGTGTTCGTTCCCACTGGCAGACTCGTGACGCAGCTGCTCGCCTAGCCATTCGCAGTCACCTGCCGTTAGCTGAGCTAGAGCATTTTGGCGACTGCAAATCCGCTAAGGCCCTGTACGACGCTGTCGTCGCTCGCTACTCCTCGCCTGCCACAGCCGAGCTTAGCCGCCTCATGCTGCCGTACCTGTTCCCCGATCTGTCCACCTTTACTACAGTCGCCGATCTTATCACCCACCTTCGCACTAGTGATGCTCGCCTGCGTGCCGCCCTTCCCACCGAGTTCTGCGCTAAGAACCCCCCTCCACTGTACTGGACACTCCACTTCATAGTCACCCGTCTCCCTGACACCCTCCGCTCAGTTCGAGACCACTTCCTTGCTCGCTGTCCCACTGAGCTCACAGTCGCCCTCCTAGAGGAGCACCTGCTCGCGGCCGAAAAGAGCATTGTAGCTGTCGGTGCTGCTCGTGGCGCTCCTCGCACCCCCATCTTTGAGGGGTGTTCTCCCTCTCCCCTCGCTCCCTCCTACGCTGCTGCTGCTGCTGTTGACTTCCTTGGTGCTGAGTCTGTTGGCGCTGCTTCTACTCCTGGTGGGAGGCGCCGCACCGGCAAGGGCAAGGGGGGCAAAAGTGGTGGTGGTGGCACTGGGGGGGGAGGAGGTGGGGGAGGTGGGGGGGGAGGCGGTGCTGGAGGGAGCGGTGGCGGGAGCGCTGGTGGGAGTGGGGTCGGTGGTGGAGACGGGGGCGGCGGAGGAAGCAGTGGCAGTAGTGGCGGCGGCGGCGGTGGCGGCGGTGGCGGTGGTGGCGGTGGTGGCGGTGCCGGTCGGAGCGGTGGTAGTGGTGGCGGCGGAGGTCGGAGTGGAGGCACTGGCTCGGGCCAGAGCTCCCAGCAGCAGCAGCGTCCCCAGACGACCCAGCAGCTTCGTGAGTGGCTTGCTCAGCGTGGGACGTCGGGGGCCAGTGCCCGCTGTTCTTATGTCATTCGCACAGGTGACCGCAAGGGACAGACGTGTGGGAGGTTCCACACCCCGTACCGCTGCTTCTCCCGCCTTGACGACGCTTGGCGTGAGGAGATGGGTGCGGATGTTGAGCGCCCCCGCTGGGCTGAGCTCATGAGGGCTGGTGTTGATGTCTTTGCTCTTGACTATGATGCTATTATTGCTGCCATGTATGCATTGACTGTTAGTGCCGAGGGAGACTGTTACTTGTGTGTGCCGCCTGACCCAGGTATAGAGCCCGCTGCCCTGGGTACTAGTGAGTCTGCTCTCTCTGGTATGGTGCCCCCTGTACTTGCTCCCCCCAGTGCTGTCCCGGCTGGTTTCGAGTCTGCTCTCTCAGGTACAGCACCCACAGAGACACCTCTCTCAGGTACCGCACCGGCTGAGGCCTGTCACACCTTCACCCTTGACTCAGGTGCTTCCCGTTGCTTCTTCCGTGACAGTACTGAGCTCACACCGCTTCCTGCACCGGTCCCAGTCTCCTTGGCTGACCCCTCTGGGGGCCCAGTCCTTGCCCAGTCCACCAC